TTAGCTCCCGAGGCCCCCTCCAACCCTTGCCATTCTGTGATGCCATTGATGCGCGGCCCGGCGCTGCCCGCGGGTCACCCCGCCTGGCCCCGCGCCCCTTCCCCGGCCGCTGGCGTTGGCAGGGGGCGTGCTGGGTGCTCCTGCCCCCCTCCCCTGGTCTGGGCGAATAAATGGTGCTGGGTTTACCACACTACATCGTGCCATCGACTTTGTGTGCGTTATATTCCTTTCACTGATCAGAGCCCGAGCAGAGGACTCTTCGCTGCTCCGTTAATGCGAAAAATTGAGAGAATTCTTCGGCATGATCAATTGGCAAGTGAAGGGAGAGATGCGAGTGCAGACAAGAACCGGAGTAGAGACTGAAAGCTTTTAAACTTTATTGGTTTAGACACACAGTCTGAAAAAATACTATGCATTCCCGATTGTCAATTCATATTAAACAAGCATATACATCTGGTTATATTATTACTGACTTAAAATAAGAAATGAAACCATTACAGAAAGACTGCTGCATCTTCAGAGAACTTCACAACGATTTTTTCGTAGAAGATTGCTAAAATCAATCTCAGGTTCCAGTATTCCTTTGGTCATTATTTTATGTATGTTATTTCTTTTTTACAACACGTTTAGTAGAGGCACGTGTTCTGGACGACTCCGTACCGACTGCGAGGACAGAGCGCTGGAGTAGCGACAGATTTTATAAAAGAGCGTTTATTGTGTGTCGGTCCACGAGGAAATCTTAGGAGCGGCTTTGAGAAATGCGACAATTTCATTCCTTACAAAAGTTTCCATAGATGACTTCTTGATGTACATGCTAATATACCAAAACCGAAAAATCTTTAATTACAGTTAAGTGGGGTTTTTTTTTTTACACAAATGCATATGTTGTATTTTAATCCCCCCACTTTCAGTTGAAAATAGGCAACGCTTATGAAAATGCCTGCTTGTACTTTGCTAAAATACATAACAAAAAGCTGAAATGAAGGGCTTAAAGGGGCTCTAGATGCCTCAGAAAACATTTTATTTTGGAACAATTCCAGGGATCTAAAACTTTTTCCCTCCCCGATTACAAGCATCCTCCTCCGAAAAGATTTCTCCTCCGAAAAGCAGAGCCTCAGCTTCATCATTAACAGGAGGAAAGGTGGTGTAGAAACCAAAGTACCGAAGAAGGTTAATTCCAAGAAGAAACAAAGAACTAAACCTGGTATCTTTTTTTTTTTTTTTTTTTTCCCCACAGACAAAACCATAGTGAGCTAAAGACACAAAAAGTACTGTCCTGGTTTCGGCTGGGATAGAGTTAATTTTCTTCACAGTAGCTAGCATAGTGCTGTGTTTTGGATTTAGTACTACAGGAATGTTGATAACACACTGATGTTTTCAGCTGTTGCCAAGTAGTGCTCAGACCACTCAAGGACTTTTTGAGCTTCTCCTGCTCGGCCAGGGGCATAACAAGCTGGGAGTACAGCACAGCTAGCACAGCTGACCCAAACTGACCAAAGAGCTATTCCAGACCATGGAACGTCATGCTCGGGGGGGTTAGTCGGTTGGTCGGTCGCGGGGAGAGTGATCGCTGCTCGGGGACTGATCACGGCTCAGGGAGTGATCGCTGCTCGGGACGGGCTGGGCATCGGTCGGCGGGTGGTGAGCAATTGCATTGTGCATCATTCGTTTTGTACATTCTGTATATTCTGTTACCATTCTCATTATTACTATTATTTTCTCTTCTTAAACTGTCTTTATCTCAGCCCTCGGCTCTAACCTTTTATTTTCTTCCCGATTCTCTCCCCCATCCCACTGAGGGAGGGGGGCGTGAGCGAGCGGCTGCGTGGTGCTGAGTTGCCAGCCGGGTTAAACCACGACAAGTACGCAGGTAGAATTGCCTCTAAATAAAATGCTTTTCCAAACTTTCCGTAAGGCATCATGAGGTCTTTAAGTAATCTGTTACCATGCAAAAATAGTATATTCTTCCCCAGTTTACATTCATCTTGTTCAGTTTATTTACATATAGATCACCAGTTTGTGCTTTTAACACATGGGAGAAAAAAACCAAACCTACAGTTAATTTGTTCCATTCCAGAAGACTAAGTCAGATTATTTTCTGTTATATGCAAGAATTTTATATTCATGGCAAAAAATGACACTGGACTGACTGATGCTGATATATATACACACTTACTAACAGTGATGATGGATTGTGAAATAGTACTTTTATCGATAAACAACTCGCCATCTCTCTCTCACCTGATGCATATCAACCATTTTAACCTGCCAACGTGCCTTTTGGGACAGAATAATGCTGTGTATTTCCTGCCAAGGGGGGGTTAAGACTGTCTGGTATGGTTTCTGCTCACACTGGTGTGAGTCTTTGACCATTTCTGTGGCAGAACAGTATTTTCTTCATCCGTTATATTGAGCAAAGAACACATAAAATGTATAACTAAGCAATATTCTCTTCCTGGAAAAAATGTGGTTTATTCTAGTTTTTATACAGGAGCACTGGAGACAGTCTCCCAGTGATTTCGCGGGCGTAGCACCAGGCCCAGGACGAACCTCCCGTATTTAAAGCGTCCGAGAGCACGGCAGCGCAGCGCGCCGCACGCTGACGGCGGTGGAAGCCTTCGGGGGAGCGGCTGCAAAACCGCTTTTGCTTCGTCTCACGTGGCTGCTGAAGGCGACAGCCGGCTTGCCGTGGGGTTTCACTAATTGATCGTGGAATGAACCCCCAGATGACAGTGATTAGTTAAAACCAGTCACCCTGAAGCCATCCAGAATCGGGCTCTTTACGGAGAAGGGTAACTTGCATCGCCACTTACGCAATGGCACTTGAGCCTCAACTCTTTCAGTAAGATGAATATTAGAAATTAATTTTGTAATTGGTTATCTTGAGGAAAAAAAAACCAAACAACTGGCTATAGGACAGCCCTGGGGATTTTTCCTTGGTGGTCACAAGAAGCATCTCAGATTAAGAAAGCTCAATGCAAAACAAATATCCCTGGAATTTGAAGAGAAGCCTGTTCGTGCCTAGCTCACGTGTTACGCACGTGTTCTTTTCAAGTTTTAATCTCTTACAACGTTGTTATGGTTATGGTGAGAGAGAGTGACCTGCAGAGGAAAATCTGATTACACGGGGAAGTATTAAAGAGAGCTCTTAGTTTATTTACACAGCTTTTCACAAGTTCTGCAAGTACTCACACTCTCGGTGTGACAACACCAACATTTCTCCCAAATTTTGCATCATCCTAGTGTGGCCAAGTCGGTGGTTTTTTCTTTCTTACTCTTTTGGTGTTCATATCTTTGGCTCTAGTGCATCTGACATTTTGCATCAAATACCAAAAGAAGAATATAATGTTCAGCATTATATACGTAAAAATAGCAGCCATCTAAGCCAGAAATGAACTCATATTGGGATCTTCCATACTTACACAGAGTCAGAGTTTAGTTGTGTAGGAAAGTCTGGTAAACTGAAATCACCTTAGGAGAAAAGTAAATTAAATTCATGTGGTAGAAAAAGGTCAGTGGAAAACGGCTTTTCTGTACTTGTTTAGATGGTTAGGGGTTTTATTATTATTATTATTATTATTATTTTGCATTAAACCAGACAGGAATCTGTACTGACTCCAATTCTTCATTGCTTTTAAGCAATGCGTGTGTAATGGCTGTCTTTTGGCTGACACGAAAAGGAGATGAACTAGACTCCGCAGAGATGAAAATCCTTTGGGACTTGACCCAAAGAGGCGGATTTTATACAGTAATTCCTATCCTCTGCAGGCGTGGCAGATGCAAATTCCCCGGGGATGCTGCTGCTGTATACACTGGTGAAAAATGAACGTACGATACCATCGGATCACAGCAGCGGTATTTCTTACTTGCTTTGGACTGATACGAGTCATTGCACTGGAATCAAATGAGGAATCGGGATTTGGAAAACTACCTGCACATTTGATAAATGAAAACGCCGTGTTCTTTATATGAGTAATTAAATTAGCTGCTACAGGTTCCTTCGTATCATTTTGTTCTGAAATTACTGCAAGAAATCAGTCTTCGTGTAACACTAACTCATTAATTCCAATTATTTCATTTTGAAGCATGCAATGGAATTTCAGAGGGAAAATAAGAGATCATTTAGATTAAAAATTTAAACTTTTACCTTCAACAGTCTATGGTGGATGCCAGTTTGAGAAAATAATTGTGCTTTCACTGTCCTAGCAAAGAAGATCTAGCAGGCACAGCTCCATGCTAGTACGCACTGGTGCAACAAACAGCAGCTATTAAAATACACAAATATATTTAGGACCCTGTTTAGCAGAAGGAAGCCACCAACAGTCCAAATATTCAAGCGACTTGATGTGAGAGTTTTCTCATCGTTTTGTACCGTGCTTTATATCAGGAGAGAGCTCCAGAGTCTGCTCCTGTTCCCCGTGGGACTCAGCCCCTTTCCAACGGCTGCAGCTGGCCGTGAAATCTCCGGTTGCATCCAGACCGCTCGCTCTTCAGTCCAGAGAGGCCACTGGAAGTGAGGACAGCGGGCACTGAGGCTTCCAGACATCTGAACGTAGAGATGTCATCCTAGCAGGCCTTTCTGCAACCGCGTCCCATGTTTTACCGTACCGTGACGCCTCACGACGGCAGCGGCTAACACAGCCTTTCGCCCACCCCGGCGGGCCTTTCGCAGCGGTGTTTCCTGCTCTTCCACAGCCAGCCGAAGGATGCCCCCCGCTGCTGCATCTCAGGCTGGCCTTTCTCCCCAGCCAATTTGTTTTGCCAAGCCCCATTCAGAATTCGCAGCTGATACCTCGTGCTCCGTTCCTTGAGCACTTGTTTCTGAAAGGGAGTTAGTCCAACTGGACTACGCAGTATTAGCAGCATGGAAAGTAATAAATTAGGGACCAGGAGCGTACAGGTTAACGTGAACTCCCCCAGAAAGCCACCACAGAGCCAGCGATGCTTTTGCAACCTTCTCAGATGGAGTAGTTGAGATGTCCATGAGCGTACTGAGCTGAAGGAGGCCCTAATGCAACACTAACATGCCGTGTATGGATCGAGTTCAGATGAAAAGGGAAAAGAGGGAACTGTATCCTACCGCTTCCTACCCTGTTCTTGTAATTTCAAGGTAGTATCGATCCCTTAGATGTAATATGCTAATAGGTCTATTAAGTACAAATAGCGGGGGATTCATTCCTATTTCTATTGTTTGTTAGGTCATTAATGATTAAATCAAATCAATGTAATTCATGTCCTGGAAAATATAAACCCTCTCACTTAATATATAAACCCAATATCCAGCTTGAAGTTCCAGATCAGGGAAAATAGACTTTCACCATCAATCATTGATTGTTTGAGGTAGACCACATTATTGAATTATCCACAATTTTAGGTTCTAACGCATTAGGTTATATACAACCAAATATCAACAGACATACCTGGCATTTTCCCTATTTTAATAACTACAAACAGTCCTAATCAATAAGGTAAGTTTCCATAATTTACTTGGTCATAGGTTGACATTTCTGTATATTTTGTGGCGATTTAGCGTAATTCTTAGTAGTACCCTACTGTGTACATAGGGTAAAAAAAATGAATTGTATCACACCTGATGGAAAAAAGAAGGAAGATTATGGTTAGTGGTGAAATCCTAGAACAACGAAAGGCTCAGATGTAATTTTCAGATGATGCTTATCCATTTCAGCTGTGTCATTCTGGCTCTGTATTTTTGAGTGTTATTCTAATATTGCTACGAAGTCCATTGTTCAGCACATTCTTCCCGTGCTTTCAGATGGAGATGCTTGAATATAGCTCTTCTATTTGTTTTTTGAAGTAATCTCTTAGTTCTGGTCTCTTAGCCTTTAACGTTGGTGTCAGCAAACCGTTTTGTACTGAGAACATATCAGAGTGAATGTAAATGGCTTTGACCTAAAAGAAAAAAAAAAAGGGAGATATTTACAGCAAAAATTGTAGGCATCACACGGAATAAGCATAACTTCTTACACCAGCCTTGCTGTGGTTACCTCTGGCTGGGCCTGGAGCCCAGGGGACCCTGCCACCAGGATTTTCCTCATAGAATCATAGAATGTTTTGGGTTGGAAGGGACCCCTAGAGGTCATCTAGTCCAACCCCCCTGCAGGAGCAGGGACACCGCTAACTAGATCAGGTTGCTCAGAGCCCCGTCGCAACCTGGCCTTGAATGCTTCCAGGGATGGGGCCTCCACCCCCTCTCTGGGCAACCTGTTCCAGTGTTTCACCACCCTCAGTGTAAAGAATTTCTTCCTTAGATCTAGTCTAAGCCTACCCTGGTTTAGTTTAAAACCATTACCCCTTGTCCTGTCACAGCTGGCCCTACTAAAAAGATTTTCCCCATCTTTCCTATAGGCTCCCT